CTACCAATAGAGATTTGTTTTCACATAAAAGCTGCCTGGGCAAAGTTCTATTGTGAAAAGTGAGCTGAAAAAATGAGATGGTAGGCTTTTTCTCATAAAGGTATCTAGTTCATGTCAAAATTCAGACCAATGTTTAATCCAACACCTGAAAAAAAACACACCATTTTAGCACATGGTTCTGTCTTTCATTGTCTTAACAAAAATGTAAAAAAAAGGAAGGAAGGAAGGGAGGAAGGAAAGGAGGAAGGAAGGAAGGAAACCAAAACATCACTTCATATTGGACTAGAGGCAGTATCCAGAACACTAATCAAGTAAATGAACATACATGGAACAGAACAGAGAAAAGGAAGATGCTGTAAGGTGCATGCCTGCTCTAGCTGCTTGGTGGACCTTAGTTTCTGGGAATACCAATCCTGAAAAAACTCTTAGAAAATACATTCTCTCAAATAATCCACAGCTTCCTCAGCTGTACATCAGTACTGACTATGTCAAAATGGCTCTTAAGCAGTCTTTGTGTTTGTCTTTCCTGCAGAGGATGTTTTCGGATACTTTTATGTAACTCTGATCAGAAATGTGTCAGATGTTCTCTTAAACCTACTCTATTTCATATTGCCAGCAGTAATTCCACAAGTTTCAGAAGTACACTTCCCTCATACTTAAAAGCTTTTTTTTTTTTTTTTTTTAAATTTCCAGGCTAAATTCACGTACATCCAGAGTACATTCACTTGTTCTTGTGGTGATACCTTTCTTCAGATGGAACAGTTCTTCTCCCTCATGAGTACATACTTCGCTGACGTAAGCAAAAAGCACACCTTCTGCAAGCCTTCATTTTCCTAAATAATCCATTCTCTGTGCTTCTTGAAGGTTCACATTCCACTCATACTCCTCATGCTATTCTCTAGACTTGTTCTCATTTAGTCCTTTCTGAGCATGGACATCCAAAGCTGTACCCTCTGACAGACAAGGTTTTCCCACACAGTGACTTCAGTGGAATGATCTTGCTGCTTATGCTATGCGATTGCATTCACGCATCATTTAACCATGCCACAACGATGTTTCATAACCTTGGATTAATGTGCCAACGGTTGCATTCACTTTGTAATCACACTTCTATCACTTCTCTATCATATCACTCCTCTCCTTCATTCCAGTGCAATGTACCATCCTCCACAGATTCTGTCTTCTCCGAACAGTGAGTAATGTAAAGCAAAGAGTATAGCCAAGACTATGAGTATGACTAGTTCTATTCTTTGTTGTGAATACAGTAGTCCTACTGGTCACAGCAAGAATTAGAACTAATTCAACTGCCTCTGAGAGTAGCATTCAAGGATATCCATCGTTTTTTGTGTTCCCCTCTACATACTGTGCCTACTGTGTAGGGGTAGCACCATATCTCCTTTAGGAGCTTATTCCATTGCTTTGCAATTCTTGGACTACCCCTCAGCCACACTTTCATTCCAGAGGAATGAAAAAACAAAACAAAACAACAAAAACAAAAAAACCCACACCCCACACCATTTTATTTGTTCAGTGTGGGTGGGTTGAACTCAACATTCAGTCTGCAGAAAGGCATATCCCACACTACCGTAATAAGTTTTATGACCTCAATATTTCTCACAATCCACGCCTAATGCCTATTCCTGCCAATACCATGCCAATACCTAATGCATATTCCTGCCATTACCTCTGGTAGAAAATTCAGAAGACCACTTTTTCATCACTCTCAAGCAGAATGCCTCAATCTAAGCATGATTTCCAAGGGTTGAAATGCTTGAGGTTGTAATTTCAAAAGCAAAAATGAAATAGGATAATTAACATTACACAGAAGCTTATATTCTTTGTCCCTATTACTATGAAGTGTAGCACTCCTGTGTTACTTTGTAATAGATCAGTGTAAAAACCAATTCCATCATGGTTGGTGTGTTCAGTCATCTGTGGTAGGTAACAATTTTAGCTGCAAGAGCTCTAAATAAAGCACTCAAGACTGAAGTCTGGCCTGAGGTTGCCCCATGTACTTAGGGACATGGCAAAGCCTCTCAAGTCCAAGACAAAAATCACAGAACTGTAGAATCATAGAATGGCCAGGGTTGGAAGGGATTTAAACTCACCCAATTCCATCTCCCTGCTGTGGACGGGGCTGCTACCCCATCAGGTCAGATTGCCCAGTGCCCCATTCAGCCTGGCCTTGAATGCCTCCAGGGAGGGGCAGCCACAGCTTCTCTGGACAGCTGTACCACTGCCTCACGCCCTAAGTAAAGAATTTCCTCCTAATATCTAATCTAATTTTTCCCTCTTTTAGTTTAAAACCGTCTTGTCCTATCACTATCAGACTGCGTGAAAAGTCGGTCTTCATCTTCTTTATAAGCTCCCCTTAAGTACTTAATGAAAGTTACCAGTAATAATAACAACAATAATAATAATAAACTGCGGGAAAACAAAGTCATTAACTTAAACAAAGTTATCTGCAGTTAGCCCTGCAGGCAGAGAAGGGAAGGGCGCTGGAAGAGCAAGCCAGGGCCGCATCTGTGGGCCAATGGGGATAACGGGCTGCCTTTGCTCCATGGGCAGCTCCCCGGGGCAGGGCGGGGACATGCGAGCGCCTGGAGGTGGGGCAGAGTTTGAGGGGTCTCAGCCTGGTGAGCTCCCGACCCCAAGTGCAGTTTCTCCCAGTCACCGCCTCCTGTCCCTGAGATCCTTTGAAACCCTCAAAAATAAAGGGGGGCGGGGGGGGAATTTTCAATGTTACACCCCTCTCTTTGGAAGGAGTGCGGTTTTCTGGCCGCGGCGACATCCCTCGTTAAACAATCAGCTCCCGAGCCCTGAAAGGAGAGGCATTGCACCCTTCTTGCTGAATGCACTCCTTAGTGCATATAACGCCAGGGCCTTTTGATGTCTCACAATGCGTGTTACGCCCCAAGATTGTCTCTTTGGACAGATCTACAACGCTTGGCTTCATGTTTGGAAGTTAAATGGCCAGCGAAGTTGTCGAAACTCCCACGTCTGGAGCTGCGCGGCGCTCCGGCCGCTCCGTCCCCGCCTGCCGCCGGGGCCGTGGGGCTGCGGGGCGGCGGTGGGGCCGGGCCTCGGCCGGCTCCGGGGAAAGGGGAAAGCGGCCCGGCCCCGAGTTTTTCTCTTTTTTCTTTTCTCCACTTTATTCTTTGGCAGCCTTAAAAAAGACGCCGTTTGCAAAGCGTCCTCCCCGTGTAGGTGGCTTCTGTCTCGAAGCCGCTGGCAATGCTGCCGCTCCATGAAATCAAAATTTATGATTATTCAAATGTTGGGGAGTGTGAAAAGAGAGGAAGAAAGAAGGAAAATTAATATTGCAGCTGTTCTTCTGATTAATGAGAGATAATTGCTCATGAAAAGTCACCCCTGTGGCATTTTGTTGTCTCCTGGATCTTTGTTCTTTTCCACTATTATTGAGGACTTTCTTGAAGACTAAGCGGTTCTTTTCAATTTTTGGTATTCAGAAAGTGTTGCTTGGTTACAGATAATGGAGAAATCTCGGGCTATATCGGGTAAGATGTGCCACAGACAGCAATATCACAATGCCACTCTCAGAAAAGGATGGATACAAGTTAACGATGCGCTTTCAACAAAACATTAATAGACTTGTTCACGCTTTTATAATGACCTCATTAATGGAAGCTGTGGGCAAGCCCTGTCTTTTTTTGCCTGCGCTCCCTTCACACAGCCCGGCTCCGAGATGGCCAGTGGCTTTGGGAGCTGATCCCAAATCGATGTTAGACCGGGAAAGAAACGCTCTCCCAGCTCAAGGACTGGCAGCCCCGCGGCCACACGGGGATTTATTGGGGCGGGGGCCGCGCCCGCCCAGATCCCTCTTCGGGTCACGTTCGCCCCTCAAACTTTTTTTTTTCCCCTTTTTTTCTCCTCAAAACGCGGCCTCGAGGTGCGGCTCTCTCTGCCGGGTTTGCACCGGGAGGGCAGTGCCTCTCTGCAGCCGGGGCTGGGGGAGGGAGGGGAGAGAGCCGCTTTTGTCGCATAAGCCGTGAATCTCCCCGACATAAAGGTGTTGGAGACATCTGGGAGAAAGGAGGGACCTGCGCCCAGCGCTGCGCTCCGCGGGCCGGGGGAGCGGCTCTGATGTTCTTTTTGAACTGCTCCACTTTCAAAAGGGGGCAATTTCGTTACATTCTCATTTGTTACACTGCCTTGAACTAAAGGCAGACAAAGCTATACTCTGTCACCCCGAGCAGAATGAAGGGAATCAAAGGATTTTCCCTTAAAAGGACTAATTTTCTCCTTGAATTATGAAAGTAATGGCTAGGTAACAGCCTGTGCTCTGTACCCAACCGCTTAATACCTTCTAAATCCTTCCACGTGGCTCTCCCAGTCGTAGCAATTAGAGCTCATTATAGGCTCATAAGAGCTCTCATTTCGGGGATTACTTAATGGACAATGAAATTTTATCGGACAGAATTATTGAAAAATAAAATCGTAACGAGGCCGATGTGATGTGGGCGCACGCCTTACATCATTCCGCCTGGTTTGGGATATCTCTGCTCTCAAATGACTTCTTTTCTTGCTCGGGCTTTCAGGGCTGAGATTTGCTTTGTGCTATTTTTTTTCCCCTCCTTTCTTTTATCACCGCGCTTGGTTTATTATAACAATTAGAAATCGCAACTTTGATCCGACTCTCGCTGTCCGCCCCACTTACAGCAGCCCCCCCTCCCAGCCCCTCTCCATCGCTGCACACTGAGGTTTTCCACGCACACCGGACGCCCTTCTTTCTAAGTAGCTTCTCCTAAAAAAACAAACAAACAAACAAACAAAAAAAAACACAAAAAAAAACCAAAAAAGACAAAACTGCATTTTAACCGGAGAAAGCCGAGCAAGCCCACTGCGTTCGCCGTGGGACCATAACTATAGAGCCTCGGGAAGGGCTCCGGCCACCGGCAGCCTCAAAGCCTCGGTAGCGGTTTGGGGAGAGCTAGGTGAGGTCGGAGTTGACCCACCGAAAGCCGCCGGTCCCTAATTGTTGTCACAAGACGCGGGATTAGCGCATTGCTGGAATAGCTGTCTGTTTACACTCCGGAGCCCCGCCGGCCTGTAAACACTTTCTAATTGAATTCTAATCACATTCAAATAGCTCCATAACCAGCCTCAGCTGCAATTCATAAAACTTTAATTGCCATCCATAAATCCTCAGTTCGCGGCTGCGGAGCGTCCCTAAAACTCTGCGGCATCGCGGCCGTCGAGGGGAGCCAGGGCCGCCCGTGTCCCCTCTGACGGGGCTGGGGCAAAGCGCTGAGCCCCGGGCCGACGGAGAACCATCCCGATCGGAGGGCGGGCAGCGGTATCTGTGTCTCTGGTGGTGTTTTTCTCGATTTAAAGAGTGAATGGGATAAGGAGGATGTCCGCGTCCCTGCTCTGCGCTCGCCTAAAGGCGTGAAGGCTGCCGATTTCTCTCGGGCCGCACTCTGGCAATCAGCCGTACTCTGCGTTTTCTGCCTTAGAGCACAATTGTCGCTACCCTGCGCCAGCCGAGCGGCGCGGGATGCGCGGCCGCTTCCAAATGCCGCGTCGTATCTGCCCAACAGGAGTGCGATCGCCCTTCCTCCGCCGAGGAGTCTTCTTAAACTCCCATAAAACAGGTCATTGGAAAATCGCGTAATATGCCGCAAATACCTCGGCTCTTTAATGCAATCTGAAATGCTCGGGAGCCACCGACCGTATTTAGCTGTTTATCCAATTTTACTTTGAATGATTGCTTCAGCACACTCGGTGCACATCAAAGCGGCCCCGGCACGGCCGCCTTTCAGCAGCGCTGCGCTCCGGTCCCGGGGCGGCCGGGCACTTCGCGGGGCATTGGCGTTGTGGTAGCACTGGGCCGAGACGTGTGCCGGTGGGGAAGGCTTTGTCCGCCGCGCTCAGTGCCAATTTGGAGGAAGCTTCGGATGGGGTGAGAAGAGTGAAAATAATAATAACAATAACAACCAACACCAAACCCTGTGAGAAGAAGGGTTGATGGACACATATAGGTGCACCCCATCCCGAATTCCCTACCTATATCCACAGCAGCGACCCGAGCTCCTCCGCTCGGAAGCGGCCTCCCGGTGCCCCAGGGGAGCCCCGGTCCGGCCGCGAGGGCAGCGCTGCCGTTTTGCTCCTACGCATCCCCTCGCTCTTTCCGTGCGGGATGCAGAGGTGCAGCCGGGCAGATCCCAGCACAATGTTTCACGCAAGTTTCTCTCCCCTCCGGCTCTGCTGCTGGACGGATGCGAGGTCACCGCTCCCACCCCCCCTTCCCTCGGCTCCCACGCTCTCACAATCTGTCTGGGACGAAGGCGAAGACTGAAGCCATCGGGCAGCGAAAAAGCACGCGCGCACACTTGGTGCCCCCCTCCCCTCTCCGTTCCCCTCCCCTCCCCCTCCCTTCGCCGCCTCTCCCGCCGGCCTGAGAAGCTGGGCAGATTTAGGTCCGAGAGGCTTTCAGCCATCACGTGTTTAAATAGTTGATATAAAACCCCCAGCGCAGGGGATCCAGGCGGGGGGACTTTAAGACCAGCCCTCTCCGGGGACCCTTTTGTTCGCCTCTCCAACATAAGCACCTTCTCGCCTCGCCAGGACTTCAGTGGCAGCCCGGTCGGCAGCAGCGCAGCCCGCCGCGATGTCGCGCTCCTTCTATGTGGACTCCTTAATCATCAAGGACTCCTCGAGGCCGCTGCCGGCCCTGCCCGAGCACCACCACCACCACGGCCAGGACTTCTTCATCCCACTCGGCGTGCCGTCCCCCCTCGTCATGTCGGTGGCGGGCCCGGGATGCCCGTCCCGCAAGAGCGGGGCCTTCTGCGTCTGCCCGCTCTGTGTCACCTCGCACCTGCACTCCTCCCGCGGGGGGGGCGGCGGCGGCGGCGGTGGCGGCGGGGCCATCCCGCTGCTCAAGGGCCAGTTTCCCCCCGCCGCAGCCGCCGCCGCCGCCGGCGAGGCCCAGTGCTGCCCGCGGGGCAGCCCCGCCGCCCCCCCTCCGCAGCCCCCGCCGCCTGCCGTGCCAGCCGCTGCCCTGGGGCACCCGCCGCATCACCCCCCCGCCTGCGCGGCCACCGCCTACAGCGTCAGCGACCCGCGGAGGTTCCACTGCCTCGGCATGGGTAGGAGCCAGCGGCCGGGGGACGGGGAGGCTGAGGCGGGTTTCTTTCCTCGGGTGTCCTTCTTCTCTCTTTTTTTTCCTTTCCCTCGCCTCTTTTAACTTGTCTCTTGCCTCCCAAGGAGGGTCCGATTCCAGCCAGATTCAGAACGGGAAGAGAATGCGGACGGCGTTCACCAGCACGCAGCTCCTCGAGCTAGAGCGGGAGTTCTCGTCCAACATGTACCTGTCCCGGCTGCGCCGCATCGAGATAGCCACGTACCTGAACCTTTCCGAGAAGCAGGTGAAGATCTGGTTCCAAAACCGCCGCGTCAAGCACAAGAAGGAGGGCAAAGGCGCCCCGCGGAGCTCTCACGGCGGCTGCAAGTGCAGCACGGGCCAGGGCCACTTCCCCAGGTCAGAGGACGAGGAGTCCCTGTCCCCATCCTCAGCCACCGAGGAGAAGGAGATCTCCCCGCTTTGAACCGTCGGGGGCACCTCGAGCACCGCCGTCGGAGCCCGCGGGCAGAGGCTGTCGGTGCGCCCAGCGGTGGGAGCTCAGCCACGGCGCTGTGTGCGGACCCCGGGACGGGCACCTGTCCTGCCCAGCTCGGAGCGCGGACCCGGCCAGGGGGTCCTCCCCACCTCTCCCCAGAGCGGTTCGAAGGAAGAAAAAGCCGCCCGAATTATTTCGGACAGAAAGCCGAGACTTTAAAACCTTGAAGGAACTCGTAGGCTGAGAACCTCCTGGACGAACTTTCTGAAAGTGAATAAGGAAGGCAGTAAAGCACCAGTCGCTTGGGTTCGGGCCGTCGGTTTGTTTGTGAATAGTTTTATATAAAAGTTCTATTTATATTTATTTAAATAAATGAGATCGGATGAGAATTTCTTTTTCTTCTTCCTCTTCTTTATTTCTTTTGCCCGGGCGAAGGCACAGTAGCGGCCGGGGCAGTGCGCGCTGCTGGTTGCGGGCACAACGCGGCTCCGTGTGCCCCAACTCTGCTATAACCCAGCTGAGCTCCGCCGGCAGCAGCCGAGAGGCTCTCCGCTACCCACGGCTCGGGCGGGGCGGGGTAGGGGGCTCCGGCAGCAGGGTGGAGCCGAGTGTACGAGCGAGGCTGGGAAAGCACGGCCGGAGACCGGCCGCAGCTCTCTGCCGTCGGGGAAGGGAAACGGGGACGGGGCAGACAGCTGCTCCTGTCCCGAGTCCGCCGGTGCCGGCGCGGGGCTGTGCGCTGGGACACTCAGTTTCTGCCCTCTCGAAGGGACTGCCTACACGCAGCGACCTCGCTACTTTTACCCCGTGCTTAGCTGGGTGTTGACAATCAGAGATCAGATTATTTAAAACAACTTTTTTTTTTTACTTCTTTTTCTGTGGAAGGGGGAGCTGCTCGGTCCCAACCGTGCCCCTTTATAACTTTTTCTTGGTTCCTCTTATCCCGGAGGACAAGTGTGCCTCTCTCCTGTTGTGCTGTTCCCCACTCACACCTTTCCCAGTGTGGGTTTTCCACTGACTCCATCTATACTTCTGACTTCAGCCCCTGAATCCAGTGCAGAGCCTTTAGGAAAATAATACTACAAACGCTTTCTGTGCTTGATCCATAACCTCAGAAGTTCAGCTCAAAGCTCCAATTCCAAGTGCTTGCCTTGCTTTTAATCAGAAAACGAGGAACAAGACCTCATGCAGCTCAGCAGGAACTGCCCAGTGCAGGGTGTAGCTGCTGAGGGCAGGAGGAGAGGGCCCAGGGTGGACTGCTCACAGCCTGTGCCAGCTGAGGGGTCTGGGCCAGCACCGTGATCCTACCGGGAAGGGGTGGCAACCAGCCTGGGATTGGGAAACAAGTGCAGAACCTCAATCCAGAGTTTCACAGACGAGGGCCTGCTCAGAGGTCAGCACCCAGCTGAACGGGGGGACACACTGTTTCCCCAGAGACTTTCCCTTCACTGCCCAGGCCATTCTCTTATGTCATAGAAATGTAACATCATTAACTCTGGAAAAAGCCTTTTAAACTATTTAGTCCAACTGTGTCCTCTCATAGCCCTTATGATTTCCTCACAGAGGACCTCCTGGCTCCTAAAGTCACACTGAGCCTTTTCTACCTGGAAGCTGTGAGAGGAGAAACTGACACTGTGGGTATCAGTGGTGTCACTGGTGTTCTGAAGCAGAAGGAGCTCCAAGCCTGAGGATCATTGCACCCTTCTGCATCAGGGTGATGCTGTCACTAGAGCTGCAGGGGTGCTGCTTGTGTGTGTGTCTGTCCTCAGTGTAGCTCTGTGGAAATAATTCAGGGAACAAGTGGGTATTTCTGTCTCTTTCTAAAGTTCAGCACCAGAAATGTGGGAATATTTCCTTGAAGTATTTAACGATTTCTTAAAAATGAGAGGGAAAAGAAACGAGCTTCTGTTACCTGCAGTGTGAATGGTAATGTATACTGTTCAAGGACTGAAAGGAAACAGTGACACTGTAGGTCACGGGACCTCAGTGTGCAAGCTGTGCCACTGAGGCAGCTGCTGCCATCACCAGACTTGTTTTTTTGATTTCAAAGTGAGCATCGGATGTGAGAAGAGCTCTCCCCATTCCCATACAGGAACAGAGCTATAGGTGTGCCCTGACGCATCCTGAAAGGCCGTTACAAAGGGAAACAGCGTTGCCAGGGCAGCCGAAGGCAGGGACAGCAGCAGAGGGGATGCAGGAGCTGTGGGGGTGGCTGAAGGGCCGCGGGACAGAACCCAGACAGCAGGTTTTTCCCTCCTTGATTCCGTGCTCGTTGCAACCGCGGTGAACGAACAGCAAACTCTGCCCTCTTACTTTGGCACTTGTCACGGCGGTGTTTGGAGGAGCTGCAAACGCGGCCGGATTTAGCGCTCCCGCGGGAGCAATCCATCAATCGCTCTTTAGGAGCCCGCGACGGAAGGAAGGCTCAGCGAAACGCGCACAGCCGCTTCCGCAGCGGCACCGGCACCGCGCGGCTCAGCAGCACCGCCGGGGACAGCCGCCGGCCGCGTCCCGGTGCCCCGGGTACGGGCGGTGACCCGGGGGCGGTGACCCGACGGGCACCGGGCGGAGCGGAGAGCCGCGGGGGGAAAGCGGGCGCTTCGCCCGGGGGAGGAAAAGCTGCACCGCCCTTCTCCGGGGCCCGAGGGGGCGGACAGAGCGCTCCTGCCGCGGGTGACAGTCCCGCATTGTGGTACGGCCCGAAGCAGCCCTCCGGGCTTAGGCTGCTGCAGGCGAACCCAAAGGGACCGGCAGCGTGTGCTGCGCGCTCTGGCAAAAGGACTGCTTGCAGATTAATGAAGGAGTGACAATTTCAAGGCTAACGTTGGCACTGCCCAAGCCAGAGCGTGGGGAGCTCGCCAGGCTTTGCTGTATATTGTCTGCTTTTCTGAAGAGCAGACAAAGATGGATAGAGGGACATTGAAAAGCGGGAGGCGTATTTCAAGCAGTCCCATAAAGGGGGTTGTCACTTAAAGACAAGAACCATAGTGCTTTGATGACTTTGTATTAGCCTCACCGCTTCACAGAAGTGACTCCGCTCCCTTCAGGGAATTCACCGACTTTCAGCAGATGACACGTCGGTGCGACAGCTTCGGGCAGTGACCGCAGCCCCTCGCCGCAGGGCAAAACTCCGCCCGGGACTTATTTTCTCGCTCCGGGGCTCGCTTTGCTTTCCGTCCCCAGACCGAGTGACCTCTATAAAAAGGTTTGCAGTGTATGAGGACCTTCAGCGCAAACCGCGTGCGCGCAGCCCTCGCGGCTCCGGGAGGCCCCCGGCACTCCCCGTCCCTCGTGTCCGCTCGTCCCCGTGTCCTCCTGTCCTCGAGCCCACGGCTCCCCACGTCCCCCTGTTGCCGTGTCCCCAGGGCGCCTCCCGAGACGCCCCCGCCGGTCCCAATCTCCCGTTCGTGTGCGGCGGGGCGGGAGGGCTGTGCGGCCGGGCAGGGTTCTCTGCCAAAACCGAGCATTTCTTCTTCTTTCTTTCTTTCTTTCATTTTTTTCCCCCCCTCCTCTTTCCTAAGACAGGGACCCCCGACCGCTGCAGCCCCACAGGCTTTGAAGGCACAGCGAAAGGGCTTCGCTGTGAGTTTGAGCGAACCATTTAGTCACTGTTTCATTAGGCGCTATTTGAACCTTGCAACATGTGGTAATTTCTGGGGCAAGCTGAAAAGGGGGGATTACGGAGGAGGGACACAAGGAAATTAGCCAACGGTTAATTTAACTCGTTTTCTGGTAGAATTTTCGATACATTCCTAATTGACGGAGGAGGCAGGTGAAGTCTTCGGCTCCCGGCAGACTCATTCACGGTGAGAATAAATGGCTCTTTTTAACTCACGCTGCTCACAATATATCATCGGGGAAAAGACATGCAATGAATATGTTGATTTTTTTATTATTATTATTAATGGAATTACACCCTGCCACGCAGGTGTGAGGGTAACAACCCACATCGCGACGGAATCAGATTAACGATGAAATGAGAATTTTATTGGCTTTCTATGTCTCATAGACCTGGATTCAAACTGTCAAAACAAGAGACAAGAGGGGGAGAGAGATATTGTGAAGGAAGTGGTGCCGATCAGCAAGCAGAGGCAGCGGTATCCAAATCTTGCTATCCAAATAATAATTAGCTGTAATTCGCAGTGAATATCCACAGCCCACACTCCACTCTGTTTATACCGCCCGTAGGACGTACTGTTAGCCTATAACGGCCAATCTCTGTCATTAGCCCCCACCGCCTCTCTTTGCTACGAAACCCGCCCGCGGGGTCCCACATATATCATCCCGTGTGGGACAGCGGAGGGGTTCCTGGGCTGGGATCGGTCCCCCCGCGGGCGCTACCTGAGCGATGCGGAGCCGCCCGCCCGCCGCCACCTCCGCTGGGGCCCCTTTGGAACCTGCTATAGAAAAGGGAGGTACTCTGCATGACAAAGCACAATTAAGCTCGCTATTCAAGAGCGCTGCAGCTGGTAGCCCATTGGGAGAGTGGGAGGAAACGCGAATATATTAATTATGCGAAGGGGAGGTGGAAAAAAAAAAAAAAAAAGCCAACAATAACGCAACAACAACAAAACCAACAACAAACGTAGGTATGGGCTGGGTGGCTTGGCTGATGTATGTGTGCCGGCTTCTGTTGTTTGTTGAATATCTGACGGCACAGCCCCAGCCCTACTCGGCTATAGGTAACTGATATCCACCAGCCAAAACTCGTGTATTCCACCAGCAACAGGTCCACAAAGACAGGAGCACGCAGTAGGAGACAGCAACGGAGAAATTCAAAGATGTTTTCATGCTACAAGTACTCCTGACCTTCACAAATAGTGTGAAGCATAGGCCAGAATCAGCCAACCACTCGTGCAGTTGATGCAGGTTGCTTTGAGCTAAGAAACTAAAGTTTGTTACTCTAGCTATTCACCAGTAGAGTCAGCTTTTAACTAACCTATCACTGTTGTTCCATTCTACAGAGCAGTATCGGAGCAGTCACAGCTTCAGACTCTCAGTGTGGCTACAGAAATCTCACCTCCAGTCCAGGTACTGCAAGGGGGGAGTTCTGTAGTTCAGCTCCCTAGAAGACTCAGCCTAGCCTATAGTACATATTCTGGAATGAATAGACGAGTCCTACACCGGCTTTCATTAAGCTAACAATCATAGTAAAGACACCATGAGATTTTTAGACACATGAGTGACTTCAGTGAGTACAGGGGAACTCCGATCATAAGTCGATTCTGCTTGTGCAGAAACCTCATTACCACTAAGGGGTTGTAATGAGATAATGGGGAGCAATCAGAAGTTCCTATTTTTTCCAGGTATCAGTACCTACCAGTCTTTCACAGCTAAAAGATAC